ACACACACACACACACACACACACACACACACACACACACACACACACACACACACACACACACACACATATAGATAGATAGATATTATTTTTATGCATTCTGCATGTTCATCTAAACAGGCGTTCAAATACACACATACTGACACGCATGCACACACAATCACACGCGCGCGCACACACCCACATCCATAACCTCGCATACACAGTCTTTCAAACCCGACAAGCTCTTATCAGTCCCTCGTGATATCCCTCGACGCGGTTCGTTATTTTGTTGCCCAATTAGGCGACGCTGGGCATTAAATTCCTCCTCCGACTTTATTGATATTTCAGCGTCGCGTCGGCCGATGCCAGGAACCGCCGCGCCTCCTGGTGTTGCGTGGCGCGGTGTCGGCGCTGGTATGCGGCCCGCGGAGCACGTGTGTGTGTGTGTGTGTGTGTGTGTGTGTTTGAGTGGTTGTGTGTGGTGTGTGTGTGTGTGGTGTGTGTGTGTGTGTGTGTTGTGTGTGTGTGTAAGTGTCGTGTGTGTGTATGTATGTATGTGTCGGATTGTCTGATGTTTGCTTCTTTGTGTTCATGTGTTCATAAAGCTGGAGGACAGAGGCAGAAATCTGTGTTTATTCGCAATATCTTGTTTACGTATACTTGTTTGTGTGTGTGTATGTGTGTGTAAGTATGTGCGTTTCTCCACGAGTGCGGGCGCGCGAGCTCGCGGGTCAGTATGTCGGGTATTTGTGGTGAGTCATAGGTGTGAGTCACGCCATCCGCCTGCCGTGCCAACTCACTTTTTTTTTTTTCTTCTTTTCTTTTCTTTTTTACCTGGCCAGTTTCTCAGTGCTGTCTGGCGGGGCAGGAAGGGGTAGGGGTATGGGTAGAGGGGAGGGGGGGTCTAGGGAGAGAGGGGGGGAATGTTTATCGCAAAAATGGACGGAAGTTCAGTTCAGATATCGAGGAGTCGGAGCCAGAGTGAGGAGGGAAGAGAGGGAAGAGAGAGAGAGGAGAGGGAGGGGGAGAGAGAGAGAGAGGGAGGAGAGGAGAGAGAGGGAGAGAGAGGAGGAGAAAGAGGAGAGGAGAGGGAGGAGAAGAGAGAGAGAGTGGAGAGAGGGAGGAAGAGAGAGAGGGGAGAAGGAAAGAGAGGGAGATAGAGAGAGAGAGAAAGAGACAGACAGACAACCTCTCCTTTGCTCTACCTCTTCTCCTTCCTCCCCCTTTCTTTTTTACGCTTCATTCATCACACTTTCCCTCGGCAATAAGACTCGGGGCACTCTGTACATCACTGCACAGATCAGGGCTATGGCAAGGATGTAGTAAAGGGCGGAAGAAGGGACGGAACAGAGATGGAAAAATGGGAAGTGCCGGTGGAAGGGGCGAGGAGGAGGGAGGAAAAGTAGAGGAGAAGAAGGGAGTGAGACAGTGCGGAGTAGAAGAGAGCATGCTGAAGGAAGGAGTGAAGACAGGAGTGATTGGATTGGGAGTAGAAGAGAGCGGGGGAGGAGGAAGAGGGAGTAGAGGAGAAGAAGGGAGTGGAGACATGCGATAGAAGGTAGGGGAAGGAAGGAGTGAAGACAGGAGTGATTGGGGATTGGAGAGTAGAAGAGACGGAGGAGGAAGAGGGAGTGAGTGGGATGGAGTGTGGAAAGGGAAGGGGAAAGGTGTTAAGGGGCTGGGGAAAAGGAGGAGGAATGGGGGAAGAACAATAGGAAGGGGCGGGACTAGAGGCGTGGGGATGGGCGGATCTAGGGCGCGGGATGGGCGGGCGGAAGAGGGGTAGGGAGAGGGGGGCGGAGGAGAAGAGGCAGCGAAAGGGGCGGCGGGCGGGGGTGTCGTCACTCACACTCACGTCCGATCCTGAGCCTTGTCTTTAAGCACGCGTAAGTGATGGGGTGGTGGGGCGGGGAGTGGGGGGTGGCACTCGCTCGTCGGGGCTTTCGGCCGAGTGTCATGGGGATCCGCTTTGAGGGAGAGGAAGGGAGGCAGAGAGAGAGGAGAAGAAGAAGGAGAAGGACATGGTAATTATGTTAGATAGTTACAATAGATGATAATAAATAGTAATGATGATGGCAATAAAAAAGAGAGGAGGTGAAGAGAGAGAGAGAGGAAAAAAGAGAGGAGGGGGAGGAGAGAGAGAGAAAAAGAGAGGAGGGGAGGAGAAGAGGAGAGAGAGAAAAGGAGAGGAGGAGGAGGAGGGAGGAGAGAGAGAGAGAAAGAGAGAGGAGGGGGGGAGGAGATGAGGGAGAGAGAGAAGAAAAAGAGAGGAAGGGGAATTAGGTTGAGGAGAGAGAAAAAAAGAGAGGAAGGGGACGAGGTAAGGGGAGATGGGCGGGGGGGGAGTGGCGAGGGTGGGCGGGGGATCATATACACCTTGCCCAGAATTATCAGTTGAAAAAGAAGGGGAGACAGAGAACAGGGCGCGAGAGGTTTAGAACTTCTCTCGAGTGTTATGGAGTTTGGCGAAAGGGAACTGGAGCGCCACTTGAGGGGAGGTGCAGCTGGTAGGGAGTGGGGGCGGTGGGGATCATTGGATAGGGGAGGTAACAGGATGGTTGATGATAATGGTAGTGGTAAGTTAATGATGATGTATATATAATTGATGATAATGATTGATGATGATGATGATGAATGATGATGAATAATGGTATTTGAAATGATAGTAATGGTTATTAAGGATAAATGATGATGATTGATGATATAATAATGGATAATGTATTTGAAATTATATATTGATTATTATAAGGATTAATTAAAAACTAACAATAATTGTTTTTTTGTTATTATTATTATTGTTATTATTGTTATAGTATTTAATATCAGCATCACCATCATTATCATTCATCATCATCACATCATCATCATCATCATCATCCCATCAATTCAATCATCATAATCCACCATCATCATCGTTGATTATTATACTATTACAATTTGCCATCATCATTTTATAGTGTTGATAT